TGAACCTCTTTGATTCAGAGGAACCGTTGAATTTTGGAACCTACTTAGAATCAGACCTGCAAGGCCTGCAAGGCAATCAATGTGCCAGGACGTTTTCAAGAGTGCCATGGGAAAGCTTCAGGACATCAGGCCCTGGTAGTATTTTATGCTTTTATTTGTCAGTCCTTTGACGGGGCTGTTTCAAGTCTGGTGCTTCCCATGAGTACTTGCACGCACTGAAAATCGCCCTGCCATGTGCCACATCCTGCCGCTCCAGCCGCTATTGCTTTGACTGCAGGCACTACTACCCTGAGGCCGACCCTGATGACTGGGTCTTCATCCCAGCAGGTCCGGCAGTATGCAATCATTGCAATCATTGCATGCCAGGGTGTATGATGCATCAATCTGCAGGTATATGGTGTGTCTTTATATATCTATACGTTGGCAAAGGCTTCTGTGGCTGTCTAGCCGTCTAGCCTGTGCTCTCTTCTTTTCTCTGATGGGTTCTGCCTTTTGTGGACTAGGGATGTCTTGCGCACCAGGCACTGTTTGCTTGAAGCAGTTTGCTTGCAGGCGTGCGCGCACAAATCATCAAGAAGGCAAAGACGCGGGTGGAAGTGCCAGGTTGGTTGGTTTGAAGATCCAGATCTTCCCCTCGATGCTCAGTATTGGAAGGAAGTATACCGACAGCAACTATATATATATATTATAATATCTTTTGGGCATAGGAAGGCCTTATACTTATACTGATGAAATCTTATGAACGTTAAGAATGCTGAAATGATGTGCAGCAGCTGAAGCGCTGCGGGCTGTTTTAGTCTTACAAATTGCAGCTTAGTTCCCTGTCAGATGCCTCATGGAGAGCAAAGCACTGCAACTAAAAACGCCTGATTCGGATTGCATGTCCCGCAGTCGTAAATATATTTCTGGTGCGTATCAAGAAATATGGCTATGAATGAGTAGTCGAGGAAAAAAAAGTAACAGTGTTGCCCCTTCGAACATGTTGGAACTACTCTACGTAATCCGTTTGGTCCAGTACATCCATTTGTCAAACTTGCGCGATTTGCACAGTCAAGATCAAGCTATGACAATAGAAAAGGTTAACTTGGGTTGTCAATGTTGTCAGGACCCCAAGACTGGCAAGGGCATGCTCCAGTTCGGAACCGAGGCCTTGGCCTCAGCAAACAGAGATCACATGAAATGCTTTTGGTTTTCCTGGGCGTTTACCTGAAGGTTTACCTGAAGGTTTACCTGTACCTGACTTGACCTGACTTGACCTTGGCCCACTGGTCTACACGGTCTACCTCCTTTGGCTCATGGTGATTCCAAGTGCGGCATGTGCTCAAACAATTCATTTGATTCTTGACATCAGCACTGTCTGATCCGTTTTGTACTGACTTCAGATTGGAAGATGTTGGACATGTATGTATATATATATATAAGTACATGTCTTAAGCGACTGACTGAGACGCGAGTTCTTACAGGTCGTGACCGGTGCCAACGGCACCATTTGTGGTCTTCTGGGTGCGTCACCGGGAGCCTCCACCTGTGTCTCGATTGGCGGGGGTGCCTGGGAGCTTGACTGTGGTTGCGTTCCTGACCAAGACTCTCGACCTGGATGTCTTATTGAAATGTCTTGCAATGTGTTGCAAAGTCTTGCATAGGAGAGTTGATACACTTGCTGGCCAAACATGGGTTCAAACGCTTCCTCTGTCACGGGGAATAGCACGGGAAAGGTACCAAAACATGCCAAAACTACATTCCAACATAGGGCCAACACAACGCAGATTTGGGTATGTCTCAATCTCAAACCTGGGTACTGTGATTCACGTATAAATCACATTAATCTAAGTAGGCAAGATTCCTAAGTGGACATTTAGTTGAGGCCAGGCAGTGCGACCGTGATGCTCCAAAGATCTCCAAAAACCGTCTCGTACAACTGTCCTTGCAAAGCGCTAGTGCATCGGGAATATATATATATATACGTATATATAATGATAGCCTTGATATATGCATGCAGATGATTAAAGATGTGGAAATTCAATACTGTATCTTTCCACGATCTGTGTGATTCTGCCAGCCTGTCGCACAATCTTTGCTTCTCCCATTTGTAATTTGCCAGCCCTCGACGTGATCGAGAAGTGCTTTGGCAGTTCACCCGAGTTCAAAAAGTGGAGCCCCAAGCTCAAGGACACCGTTGAGACTCTTGAACATCAGCGAACTGTGTGAAGGGTCAGATCTGCAAGTATAACTAGGGTTGCAGCTGCTCTACCCAAATCCCGAAGAAGCACCGCATGATTTGCAAGAAGATTCCAGATAGGTGTGTGTGTGTGCGTGTGTGGTTAGATATAGCCGAGGGAAGCACAGGAAGCCAAGGCATTGTTGCTACCGCATTTGAATCTGGTCACCCAAACCTGAGCTTTACATTGTTCTTGATGAGATGAAATTTGTGCAGTACTTGCCATCCTTTCTTTTTAGTTTATGTATGAATATATGAATAAATCTACACTGGCAACACTGATGCACTAAGATAGTCCTCATAATGCAAATCTCAAAAGCAACTGATGCCGGTCAGCATCCCATAGTCATGAGATGTACAGTCTCTACAGTACTCAATCTTCATCTCTCTCTCTCTCTCTCTTTCTCTATATCTCTATATATAGATCCAATCACTCTAAGGTAAGCCGATTTTGCTCACCTGTGGGGTGGCATTCTGGCCCAGTACCAGTACATTCCTTGAACGGCTCTTTTCTCCAGGAGATGATTCCAAGCTGGTCTCCCGATGTTGCTGCCGGTGATATGAAGAAGGCCTGCAGTTCCCTTACCGTATCTTACCGCCTTACCATTTTGAGGAAAGAGTTGGACCTTTGTATTCTCAGCATGTGTGTATGTAGTTCTAGACTGTCATAGATCTGTCCTGGCACAGGCACACACATATCAATGTATGCGCCTACACACCATATGTATCCATATGTATTTACCGGCATGTCACGCATGTGTATATATGTATACAGTTGTAATTATACATGTAGCTATTCATATGCCGTGTATACATATATATGTATATATATAATATGCATATATATATACACACTCTTTTATACATTGGGAGAAGGTCGGCATTTGCACATTGTGGCAATGCAAATAAAGGATCACCCAAACTCACCTGGATAATGTATGCAAGGAGCGGGGCTCTGCATGTAAACATGTTGAACTTCAGGTACAAGATCCAACATACCGTAAATGTGAGCGTTGTGAACCATTTCTACTTTGGCTCCTTCTTTTGCTGCATTCCACTTTCGCACTTGACTGATGCTGATAGGTCACTCCAGACGTTGTCACTTGGTCATGCATGGGGAGGAGGGAGAGACAGAGAGAGAGAGAGAGTCAGAGAGTCAGAGAGTCAGAGAGTCAGAGAGTCAGAGAGTCAGAGAGAGAGAGAGAGGGTCAGAGAGTCAGAGAGTCAGAGAGTCAGAGAGTCAGAGAGTCAGAGAGTCAGAGAGTCAGAGAGTCAGAGAGAGAGAGAGAGTCAGACAGAGAGAGAGAGAGATAGAGAGGGAGTCACAAATCAAAATCAGAAAGGTTGCAGGTCAGAGGATGCTGTTTCACAACACGAATTTTGGTAATAGCCCGAACGTTGCCTTGACAGCAGCTTCGTGTGAAAGCAACATGTGATTGGCATCGATCTGAAGCAGTAGAGCGTACAGAAAAAAACACCACGAGAAAGGCATGCTTAGACACTTGCATGTGAAACGTCACAAGCATCATAAGCTGCAAACCACACATAGAAGGGAAATGAAAGAATCACGTATATATATAATTGTATATATATATATATTATATAATTGTATATATATATATATTATATAAATGTATATATATATATATATCTATAAATGTATATATATATATATTATATAATTGTATATATTATATATATACATGTATATATATATGTATATATATACATGTATATATATATATAAATATATATATATAAATGTATATATATAACTGTATATATATATATAACTGTATATATATATATGTATATATATATAAATGTATATATAAATGTATATATATATAAATGTATATATATATAAATGTATATATATAAATGTGTATATATAAAAATGTATATATATAAATGCATATATATATATATATAAATGTATATATAATTATATAAATGTATTTATATATATAAATGCGTATATATATATATATATGTGATATATATATATTGATTGCCTACACGTGTTTCTGCGGGACGTTTTGCATTTAGCAGACCTGGGAAGGGTGGTGTAGGGTGGTGTTTATGGTTTTGAGTCCTTTCTGCAGAGCAGCCGCAGCCCTTATTCTCTGATTTCCCTGTGGCCTACTTTGTACAGTATTTTGTGGTTTCGAGAGTTGCCCTTGAGTTGGAAAATTATTTCTGGATCCAGTTTCAGATACAAAAGCAGCAGGAGGACATGATCAGATTTTACTGAGTTACACACTTTGTGCCTTTGTGCTTTCTCCCCACGGGGCCGAGCGTGCTTGCATATCATGAAGGGATGTGCCACTGATTTGGGCTCTGAGACATTTTCTGGGACCACATCGCATCAACATGATTGTAACATGATATGAACATGCAACGCAGGAAACAACACGTATCACACTGGTTCTCGTTCTTAACCAAAATAATCGATGCTTCCAGGATCCTGCTCGCCCAAAGAGTAGGTTTGTCTTCCGAGGTCAACAACATCTACAAGACCACCGGTGCCACTCTCAAAATCACGCCAAAGTGAAGGGGAGATCTACAAAACGTATGCCTTGGAGGTGGTACCAGGCTGGCAGACTGGTCCAATCGGTGACAGATCCAGAGTGTTTCTGTCGCAGTAAGGATTGAACTTCCCAACACGATAGTTCTCACAATTTAACACCTAACACTTTCACCTGACTTGTTAATCACGATCAGGACTTCCACTGCAAAGTTCTTTCATCTGTGTCTTGATGGTTTTTGTCGGAGGAAAGATGCTGACTGATGCTGTTTTCGAAGCGGAAAGGTAAGCTCCACATGCAGCGGATGTAGACACTTGCAGAGAGCAACGTGTATGTTCTACTGAAAAGAAATACAAGGATGTTGTGTGCAAAAAAAAGAGCTGCAACCATGCATTTCTCGTTGCGTATGCGCCACGGTTTGGGTCCAGGTCAGGTCAGGTCTACAATTTTACGTCAGTTCTTCTTCTCCATCTCCCCCTTTGGCCAATGCGCACCCCCAAACCTCCCCAAACTCCCATTTCAAATCCGATTTTTCTAAAGTCTAGACTTCCACGAGTATATGGATTGATGGGAATTCTTTTGAGATCTTTTGAATTCTGTTGGCAAAGGTATGCAGTTCTTTTCTTCAGTCAATACAACGCCCATAGCCCCTCCAAACCACCTGTGCGCCGAGTACAGACTCCAACCTTCAAACACCAAAGACACCCTAGACTCCAGAGCTAGAAACAAGACTTTAGACCCCTCGGGTTGCACAGTAATGCACGGTGGCTCTTTGACGGTGATAATTTCACTCAGCAGGCCTTTGTCAACTGACCGAAATGAGCGCTGCTGCCATCGCCATTCCACAGGCAAGGAAGTAAAAGCAAGTGAGAGTTTTGCTTTCTCATTCCCTGTGGGACCGCCTTCAGCCAAAAAACTTTGGCAAGGTCTACGTGCTCAGCACGTGTATTATATGCGTCACTGGCCTGATTGGTGTGCTTCCAATACAGTAGACATGTACTGCCTTTCATAGGGACTTGGATCTATGATTTGATCGTGATTGTGTGGAATCTTGTGGTGCCTGCGCACAAGATATTTTCCATGGCCAGGGGACAACTATTTTGCAGCTCGCTTGATCGTTTCTATCCGCGACATGAAACCGAGAAGTTGACGAGTTCACATTGATTGTGTATTTGTTTATTGCATCTTTGCAGATCAGAAGTGGCATGTGGCCCAACACTCTTGTCATGTGCCGCAATCCAAAAGTAGTCAACCTCTGACTCGTTGCTGCCGGAACTTGCTTGACAACCTGTATGATCGCTGGCATTTGCTGTGCAACGCTCATGGGTACATGAGCAAAGCTAAGCAGAGACACCTTAGCATAGCTAAGCAAGGGTGGATCAGCTACATAGATTTCCCGGTTCCAAAAGAGGAGTGCAAGCTGCGATTGCGGGAAGGAAGCAGATCGATATGGTCGTTTGCCTATGTTGTGCGCGCATGATGTACCATGATGTGAGATGACTATCTTACCAGTAGTGCCCGGCCCATGCCGGGGCGGAAATTTCGAAAAAATGAAACGACTATATATAGGAAATCAACGGCCTATCGGAAAGTTTGTGCGATGCAGAAGTAATGAATTGTTCAAGCTGTGGGGTGCATCAACGAATTAAATGGTGGTTGAGATGCGGGTGAAATGAGATGAGAGAATCCGTGCATGACTGACCAAATGAACCAATGACTCAATGAACGAGTGAATTGGTGAGTCGATGCAATCAATGAACCGATGAGTCAATGATGCAATGGATCAATGATTCAGTGAATCAATGAATCAACGAATCAACGAATGAATGAATTAGTGAGTCGGTGAGTCAATGAATCAATGAATGAACGAATGAATGGATGAATGAATGGATGGATAAGTGAGCTACTTCTTTGTTGAGCTACTTCTTCACTGGGCAACCTGCTCTGAGCTGCCTCCCAGCTACCTCTTATGTGGCTTCTGCAATCCAATTCTTCTCTTCGCGCAGCTGTTGCAATGCGTTTAGCAACCCAGTCAGCTGCAATCGCGCTTACCAAGAGCGTTGCAGCATCACTCATGCTTTGCTGCGCGCAGCCGTGCCACTGCGTTTTGTCACAGCCGGTTGCAAACCCGCATATAGCAGGAGGGTCGCACTGAATCGACCAACGTTCGCGCAGCGCTGACAAAGGGACGATTCCGCGCTACTCCATGAATGGTGTTTTTTTAGCCATGTTTAATTATTTTTATGTGAAACCGAACTCTCGCTACAGTTTTATGTACATTTTGCCGACCTCATCTTCCAAAAGTGCTCCGGCATCATCAGTTTTTCAAAAAAACTATTTTGAAGTGCAAATCGAGCTCTTGCCACGGTCCTGTGCATGTTTTTGATGATGGGTGGTTGACATGATGATATGGTTGCCATGATGAGACATGAACATGATGACAAGACTGCCCATGGACATTCGTCCGTAACTCGGAAGTTTATAATTATAGTCTCAGCAGCACTACGCTTTGTTGACTCGCTGAGTTGCGAAGTTTCTCATTTTTGAAATTCAAAACTTATCAAGTGGATGAGGGATGGGGCCAACAAATTGAAGTCATAGACTACAGTTGCAAGTTGGTCCACGGCGAACAGCGAACTCCACCTGGCATTGTCACTGATGGACTTTATCCGATGTGGATGGAATCAACCCAGTTTAACAGGCTTGTTGAAGATGTCTCTGACAGAGCATGAGTCTGAACGGCCATTGCTGCAAAATCATATTTTGCCTTGATCAAATACACTTCGTGCAGATTCTGATACTGTATATACTGTGAATATCTGTGAATTACGTTGCGTTTGTGAAGTACAATTAGAGTATTGCAGAGAGAATGAAAAAGCAAACATCCGATCAATGAAGGGACTTCGGAGGCACTTCGCCACAACCCCTTAGCGCCCCCAAGGGCCACCATTTACTGCCGTGCAATTTGGAATCTTCGGAAATCTCTGGAATCGTTTTGCCGTTTTGATTGCCACGTGTTTCCGACTGCTTTGCAACTCAGTGGGTTTACCTCGCGGGCTGGACCTCGTCAGTGATGTTGGCTGGTGGCTATGTCGCGCCTCCGTTGGGAGTCACAGGACACCGATGGACAGCATGTTTGCACTCTGAGGCCATCTACCATAGAGCCATAGAGGTCCTTTGAGTCTGAGTCATACTAGATCACACATGATCACACGAAGTGGTACTGTACGTGTGCAAATCTTGAATTAACATTAATTTAGTTTATATAGTTGACATGTTTTACACAAATTTATGTGTCTTGTTTATCCGAATTGCATCCCGTAACATCTGGCCAAGCTTAACCTTCAACCATTGTTTAGGTATCTTAGGCCCGCTCAGCAAAAGACAACTGCAATTACATGGCTGGAGGGTGGTTTTCAAATTTGCACCGAATTTTCTGAGGCTTAATGAAAAGCTGGATGCATGGCACGTCAATAGACCAGGCACGGCTGATGGGCTGAGTCGACTGAGTCGCTCATGGCTCTGCCAACTGGAAGCGTCCATTACAGCTGCACACCAGCAATAACCAGCAATGGTGTTCATAGATGTTCATAGAATCATCTTAAAACATCATAGTCGCCTCCCATCCCAATGCTGATGATGCTGATGTAGTCTGCACATGCTTGCACCAACTTTAACATAATTTCCATAGTTTCGATAGTTTGACATATTTTCAGCAAACCCAACTCTTGTTGTCCAGAAGATGGTCCGATGCCTACAAGCGTAGCGGCTGCACTGGCAGCGCAGGCGGGCCACAATTTCGAATGTTTTTTTTGCTGAAGAAGAACTTCCTGTACCTGGAAAATATGTATTGAACTCAAAAAGTACATTCCGGACTTCTGGCAGCTAGCTAGCCCTTTTCCTGCTTTCGACTCTGGGCAGACCTTTTTGCATGAATTATTCAATACAGTACATGTCAATACATGCTGTGGAATGTTGGAGTTTAGGCACTGCATGGCACATACCAGGCGATGGGCTTCGCGAACGCGAACGGAGTGCTTCCAAGGGATGAAGGAGTGCAGATAGTCGAGGGATGAAGCAAGGATAAGCAAGGGGCGGGTTGGACTTCTGATTCGTTCATATTTTTTCAAGTCTTTTCATGTTTTTCCTTGTTTCAGGTGGAGGATTGAAAGCATTGGAAAGGGCTCGACCAGCAGTTACTCCGTTGTCAACTTTGTTTCATGATGCGGACCCATTCATGACGGAGGTAGGGAGGACGCAGCCAGCCCAAAGACAATGTCTGAAGACAGCAGAGTTGAACAATGTGGGCAAGATTGCATGAATCGCCACGAACTTGGAGCATTCCCTTTTTTGAATCTTTTTGGCAGATAATTACTCAAGACTTGAGTCCACATGAGTCCGCATTTGCAACAATCAAACTTTGAACTTACTCCGGCTGTCCGCATTCCTTTATTTTCTTGAAAGATGTTAAGCACACAGACTCTTGAGCCCTTGTCGAGCATGTTCGAGCATGTTGGGTTGTAGGATTTGACAATATCAATGTTGGAGGTTGGGGACTCCCTGTGCAGTCCGACAGGGCTCAACCGACAGGGCTCAAGGGAGTTTCTGCAGATTAAACTCGCCAATTGGATCATGGCCTACGCTTACCACTACAACTGTTTTCTCTGCACACAGCATGCATGAATGAGTCGTTTTCAATCAAACCGAACATGAGCCGAGAATGAGTTGAACTCAATTTTGCCAGCCACTGCAAACCAACAGATGAATGTCTCAAACTAAATGCTGATATGGTGCCGGAGCATAGCACAATTTTGAATGCCAATGATTCGTGTTTGATGATTTATTCGTTTGGGTTCTTGCCTCTCACCAGCCGCTACCCAGCGCCCCATCGACACAGCCCAAAGGCGCCAAGGGCACAAGACAGTACAGGTTTTTGTGCACATTGCTCAAGATTGAGAACAGCACTGGGGCCAAAGCAAGCAAGTTTAAGCAAGGTCCAAATTCCGCACTACCAAAGGCCTTCACATGTTTCGCATCTCATCCTTACAGACGTGCATACTTGCATGGACTGGCACTATGTCTTTGATGCATTTTGCGGCTTGATTTTCCACTCCACACTCAAACACATGTTCCACACGTCATCACAGTTTTGGTTAGTTTGCAAGGTCGTTTTGGGTGATGCTCAAAGACAGTTTTCCTTTGCCCTTGGTGTTGTCCGAGAAACAAGACTTCTAAGAAAGTGTCTTGCAAAGTCTTCAAATATGCCTCCTGCTTCAGGCTCCGCCAATGGCTTGTTCAACTGGGCAGTGGCTGGAGGCCTCCTGATCTCGACGTGAAGAGAGACAACGATATACCAAAAACTAGACGACGGATGGCCCAAGAGCGTAGAGGAGCAAGGTCTTCTGTTGTTAGTATTAATAAGGCACTATATTAGAACACAATATATTAAAGATGTATTATAGGCAGACGAGAAGCATAGTATCAAGACAATATATTACAAGACAATAGTTTGCATCGTATCCTTCGTACAGTTTTTCACATACAGAACCTTTTACATACAGACGCTTTTGGACACAGAAGCTTTTACACACAGACACTTTTACACACGGAAGCTTTTACACACAGAAGCTTTTACACACAGACACTTTTACACACAGACGCTTTTACACACAGACGCTTTTACACACAGACGCTTTTGCACACAGAACTTTTACACACAGACGCTTTTACACACAGAAGCTTTTATACACAGACGCTTTTACACACAGAAGCTTTTACACACAGAAGCTTTTACACACAGACACTTTTACACACAGAGACTTTTACACACAGAAGCTTTTACACAGACGCTTTTACACACAGACGCTTTTACACACAGACGCTTTTACACATAGAAGCTTTTACACACAGAAGCTTTTACACACAGACGCTTTTACACACAGAAGCTTTTACACACAGAAGCTTTTACACACAGACACTTTTACACACAGAGACTTTTACACACAGAAGCTTTTACACAGACGCTTTTACACACAGACGCTTTTACACATAGAAGCTTCTACTGTACACACAGACTCTTTTACACACAGACGCTTTTACACACAGAAGCTTTTACACACGGAAGCTTTTACACACAGGGGCTTTTACACACAGAACCTTTGACACAAAGAAGCTTTTACGCACAGAACCTTTTACACACAGACGCTTTTATACAGAGAAGCTTTTACACACAGAAGCTTTTACACACAGACACTTTTACGCACAGAGACTTTTACACACACACACAAGGGTTGTCGTCGAAGCGCTTACCTCAGTTTTTGGCGATCGAACCTCATTTCGTCCGAAAAAGAAGGAGAGAGACAGTGACAGAGGACAAGAGAGAGAGAGGCAGAGGGAGAGAGAGAGGGAGGGAGAGAGAGAGAGGGAGAGAGAGAGAGAGGGAGAGAGAGAGAGAGAGAGAGAGAGGGAGGGAGGGAGAGAGAGAGAGAAGATGTGAAGATGTGAAGATGATATGTGAGGATAAGATGTGAAGATGTGAAGATGATACTTGTAGATGTGAAGATGTGAAGATGATATGTGAGGGTAAGATGTGGAGGTGTGAAGATGATATGTGTAGATGTGAAGATGTGAAGATGATATGTGTAGATGTGAAGATGGGAAGATGTGAAGAGGCGAAGATGATATGTCAAGATGTGAAGATGTGAAGGTGTGAAGATGGTATGGTGTAGATGTGAAGATGCGAAGATGATATGTGTAGATGTGAAGATTTGAAGATGATATGTGTAGATGTGAAGATGAGAAGATGTGAAAATGTATAACAGACCCCCACTATTAGAAGAACCCTTCGCTCAGATGCTCTCGGGAAAAACCTGGAAAACATATATCTACGCATTTCAGACATTCTTAAATTGTCTAAGTAAATTTCAAACATGTACGGCAATGCTTGCCCTGAGTGTGCTGCTACACGCGTATGTATATGTAATATGTAATATGTACAATGATATATAACTGATTGTAATTGCATATATATATATTATTAGAGTATATACATGGAATACTTAAACAAATACTGATTACAATAGACATGCGCATATGCTGCAAATGATGGACCTTAATCACTGATGTTGCAAATTTGCCCTCAAACAAAACCGGGTTGTGGTTTTTAAATTATTGTGCCCACCCACGACTGTGCAGAGGTTAACATCTAACATAGCTTGGACTACTCCAGTTGATGATAGAACAGTCAGGTGCTGCTTTCAAGGCATCTAGTTCAGGTAGCAGGTTCTGATTGTAGCACAATTGACGACTTCCTTCAAGCATTGACTGATGTCCGTTGAAATTGGACAATCCTTGCTTGCATTCTTAAACCTCAGGAATTGAATCTTGCACAGCTATGAATGGAAGAAAAGTAACAACATGATGTGCATGCACGGCATGGGACAGGGGCAGGATTGTTGCATTCCGGATGTCTTATCTGCTTCCCTTTTCTGAGGCAGCCAGTTTGGTGACACTTTTTGTAGTTTGCACGCACCAGTGTGGTTAAACCGATTGAAACCGGTTACCATCGGTTACCTATTCACAACTTTTTGTGACTCGTTTTGGACCTGATTTCACTGTCAGCCTGATTTGCCAGGCCAAGCCTTTGCCGCACTTTGGCGGCTCTTTACCAAGCAGGGCAGCGCGGCAGGCACGAAGTTGGTCCAAGTGTTCCTGAAACTCCCAGATACCTGGAGTATATAGTACTCTGCAGCGGGTTGCACGAGACAACTTTCTTGAGTTTGTTGAATCAATGACGATTCCAAGTTTTGTCCCTTAGCGGTGCAAACCAAAATGACCCGACAGCAAAACACTATGGACAAAATGCTTGAGTTTTGTCCTCAGGTCTTGTCCTGTCTTGTCATGTCTTGCCATGATCATTCAACTCTGGCAGAGTTGTCATTTGAATTCATTTGACAAATTTGATACAATTCTGGACGGAGGCGAGATCCCCGCGCTTTTGGCACAGTGCGGTGCTCCCAGGCAGCGCAGTGCTTTTGGCACAGCAGTCCGGACCTCAAGACCGCCAAAACTTCATTCGCAGCAGGGTGTAGTATGATAAGAGGGAATAGTGATGGAGTAGTGCCACCTATGTGGAAGGCCCAAGTCAAGTGTACAATATGATATTCAAGAGCCGAAAGAAACATCCATCATATTTCAGTTCATTACTCGATTTTGCAATTAATGTAAGTTTCTATAGATATTGTTGCCTTAGTGACACGGCAAAGTGATCGCGTGAGTGTGACAGGTGTTACTCTGCGTGTACAGGTTCGAACACACTATCTCAGATCTCTGTCGTGCTGGTAGGCCTTTTTTCCTGACCTTGTACTGCAAAATACCGCAAAAGATATCCCTCTAGATCCTCTAGGAGATTTATCCCTCCAAAAAACCTGGGTTCAAGAATTCATTTCGGATAACTTTCGGTGCAACCCCATCTATGCTCCACGCACGGGGATATTTCAGCTTTGCATGGTTGCCTACGCTGTTTGTTTCCCACATCGGTGCCACCAAACACAAGCAATCAGCCACTAAGGGCCTGCAAACAGGCCGGATCTCAAAGCTGAAACGTGACGCAAAAACCAGTTTGCAAATGTTTGCAACATATACATAAAACATTGCTGTACAACTATCTTCATCCATTTGTCCAGGACAAACATGTTTTCTGCCTGTGGCAGGGTGTTTGGCAAGGACCAGATTCCCATGCTGCTACTGCTTGCTGCTTAATTAATGATCTTAATGAAGACAGGTCCTTAAGGATGATGATCAAAGGAGGCACCCGTAGGCATCCCAAATCTTCGGAGGTGAACTCGGCATCCTTCTCTTAGCCGAGTCTTGCTATGTCTGGAACAGGTGCGTCGACGCTGCGCTGTGGAGCAGCGGATGAGGCAAGATGATGCAAGATGCGCGAGTGCTCAAAAGTGCTTCAAACATTAAAACATGTGGCATTTTCGAGTCTTCCTCACTCTGCTTTTCTTTGGGATGCAGACATGATAGCTTGCAGTCAAGAAAAGTTGATTAGAACCCATATTCGTGAGATGGTGTCAATGTAAGTGCCAGTTCAATGTTTCCTTTCATCTTGAGTAACCATTCAATGAAACATTTTTATGGCGTCGATTTGCAAGGTTTCCTACGGCGGTCATTTGCGCAGGATCAAGGTTTGTCCAATCAACTGAAATGTCTTGCTGATGATTTGGCTGAATTTGGCTGATTGGGCAGGTCACTAACGCAAGCTAAAGTCACGCATGCACAACACCTTGCTGAAGGCGAAAACGGGGCATTTTGGATCCCCCTTGGAATTTCCACTAAAGAATGGGACAACCCGGGTTGTCGCAAAAGACAGTTTTTTTCGCTAAAACATGTGTTTTTTCCACATGGCTAACCCGGACTCCCCATTTTTTGCAAAGGCTTCCTGGGTCATGATTTTTTAGAGAGGGCATTTTGAGAGGGAATAGACAAGCTGATTGAATTTTTGCAATTTGCTAAAACTGCTGTTGTGCGCCGGCCATCTCCGATGTGTAAAGCAATCATTTGGGTACATTTGGTATTTTTATACCTGTTGACGTCCACATGGCTAACATGGACTCCCTATTTTTTAGAGTTCCGCTTTTGTATTTGTATTTGTTTGTATTTTTTTGTAGTTGGTTGCCTGGGCCATGATTTTTTAGATGGTCTTAGACCCCCTTGCATCCTAGGTCTTTAGATGTGCCATTTCAGTAGTGCAAGGTGGACCACCGCTTTTTGTCTAAAGAATGCTGGAGTCCATGTGAGCACGGGAATTCCAACAGTGATCATTTTGGCATATGTTTGCATTATCGATTATTTTGCAAACCACGAATCTTCCACAGAAATATGCTCAATGCAGTACTTGACACCGTGTCACACAGCTTTTGCGGCCAGGTGAGCGGCAAGATGATGTTCAATCGACTGGTCTCGGAAAGATATGGGCTGTCCGCCACAGGACTGCTCAGCGGACGTTAACGCTGCCTAACATTGCAAGGAAGTTTATTCGCATGGACTTAGCTGCCTCGCAAAAATCTGTAAATCTATAATGTAAATCTTATTATTTGCCTTCCTTATCCTTTTTTTTTGCCAGACATCTTGGCATTCTAAGTCTATGTGCGCAGTGCGCAGTATGCTATTACAACTGCTGTCACTTCAATCAAGAGGACTTTGAGCGTTCTCCAAGATGCCGTGGAGGCTGGTCACGGACTGGCCCTACTCTTTCAATTTCAATCGTTGTTTTGCTCCACAGCACTTTTGATATCTATCCGATTCATTCCGATTCTATCTATGTGATTCCATGATATTCCATGTCTATATATCCCATTTTCAATTTCGCTTTCAGCACTGCAAACTCAGGGTGTCAAATCAGGTGGAATTGCAGTTTTTGTGTATCTTCCCTCACTGCAGACTCACGGTGATCATCAAGATTGGCTGAATGACTTCGATTGGACAAGGTGCACTCTTACATGCATTAACCTCGAACAATCAAAGCCCCTTTGGTCGTGGCAACTCTCACTACACATGCATACGCACAGAATATGTATGAGTAATATTATATATGTATATAATTATATATATATATTATAATTATATATATATATATTATAATTATATATATATAATTATATACATATATAATATATAATATATATATATGTGTTCTGTATGTATATACGCACCCAGAAAGGTTATGGTTTCTCAAGACATTTCATTTGCCGACTCCTGCATATGGTGCTCTGCAGGGAGAATGACACTGGCGTGACATTCGTTTGAATTTCTTATTTGGCTGCTTAAATATCTTGCAGCCAGGCCCACTTGGGAAAACTACACGGGCTCTTATACGTACCACCCGCGCCCAAGTGATGTTGATCGAAGCCATTTGGTCGGAGCACTCAGATCGACAGTGCGCTAGATGATGCGTATTGATGCATAGCAGAGGATTTGCCTGATTTCTGCGTGCCAGTGCTGCTCATCAAACAGATTTAAATCATTTTAAATCCGTCTTCGGCTCGAGTGGACTCAGGACCTTGACTACCATGGCATCTACACGGAGAGCCGGTGCGACATGCAGGTCAGCTCCTCAATCGCTTGTGGGACTGTTGGAATGGATTTTCGGATATTTTTGGTATTTTTAAGATTTTTTTAAGTGGACTTCAGCAAAGTCTTTTGATGCTATCCTTTTTCATCTTTTTCTGGTCGCTTGTTCGGTGCTGGTTTGCCTCTATACCGTCGGTAGGCGAAAAAGAACATATCTGCCACAGCAGAATCACCTCAGACCAGAGCCACGTATGAAAGACATTCCTAGATACCCAAACACAAACAGGAAACTTGATTGCTGATTGCTGCTATTGAAAAGACCAGGATGCAATGGTCTCCAACATGCTGAAGGAGGCACATTCTTTGAACATGTGAAATGCCACGAGTGGAAATACATGCGTTGATGAGCACTGAGTAGTCGGTGCGTGTTGGCACCTGTCAAAGCGATAAAATACTCAGAACATGTGCAAGCGCAGTTGAAATTTCAAAATACACATTTTGTGCGCATCATGTACTGCAGAAAGAAAACAAGAAGTCACAGGAAGTGACTATTTTTTGTAATTTCAAGTGTGTAATGTGTATGCAGAATGTCTACGCTGCTAGCGTGCGTGGTGCAGTTCTGCTGATGCGAGCTCTTTTCCAATGTGCTCATTTGTACACCGGGCGACCGGCACCATTCAGACTCCCCGAAACGCGTACTTTTGGATGCTAGTATGTGCCAGTTCTACCTTGAGAGTAACATGCAGTGTCAGCCTGTTCTGAGCTGCCCCTGAATGCGGTTCCACGCCTCCCTTTGTCACCTTGCTTGTCTTCCCCACTTGTGTGGCACGAATGGTGTACGGAGTTGCTAAATTGGCACAACAAGTGACCGTGATGCACGCATGTGTGAAATACATGAAGTGTTTGGGGTCTGTAGCGCAGCAAGATGCCTCTGCCAAAGGACTGCTGATTGATGATGATTCCATGATAGTTCCATAAATCAACAAGAAGGGATCGAGTTAGATAGAGAACAGAGATGACATGTTCCGTGCTTGGACAGGCTATGGCAAGGCGAGAGATCTTCACATCCACCCATGAGGAGCTGCTTAGCAACAACTCTAAGTGGTTGAATGGGGTTGACTATTGTTGAATTGATTTCGTTGAAGCCTCACGTTTTGGTGAATTCATGTCAATTCAATGCAAAGGGAGAAGGCTGCATCGTTTGCAAATTCTCATTTGCTAAGCTTGCTTGAAGTGAGTGCAGCTGAAAGACATGAAGCTAATTGAAGCAAACTAAATTTGCACAAATCAGCAAACATTTCGAACCAAACTACAATCAATTCTCATCTGATGCGTTGAAGGTGACTCTAGCTCACAACTCACAACTACTAATAGTAACTACTAGTAGTGACGGGTGAGGGTGCCGCGATTATTTTTCATTGGGGGCAGTGTGACAGTGTGATCGGATTTGTTTTGATGGACGTGCATGTATATGGGTCAAAAGCCAGCAACCCTAAAACGGATAGACAGACATTCTTTTCGAGCATATTTGCGAAGGTAGAATGGGTTTGGCAGTTTGACTCACACCCAGATCACAGTGGTGTGCAAGTCGATGTGGAATTGTTTAGAGTCTAGAGCCAACACTTGTTGCATGGTTTGTTTGTGGAATCCAGCATGACCACTTGAACATACTTGAACACAGCCTGCTTTATCCTGCTTTGAGGTTTCAGCATCCATTGCCTTGTGTGTCTCGGAGCTAAACGTGATGGTATTCCTAGCATAGGCTGAAATTGAGCACTGTGGTTCAGGAAAGAATTTGTTTAAATCTCAAGCAGGGGCAGGGAGTTATTAGGATTTGGATGGATTCAGATTGTAGCGGCCCCAAAATAGACGTCAGCCGACTTCTTTTATATATATATAATATATATTGTAATTAGATCTTTTCAGAATTGCTCTTCCTTCCTATGGATTTAGGAAGGGCAACGTATTTCATCCATTTTCATCCTCCATATCTTTGTTTGCCCGATGATTTTGATTCAGTGTTTGCATATTTGGAGTGCAACTAGCTGGTTGAAGATCGAGGAGCTTTGCTCGTTATGAGTGAATGCACGAGATAGCATAGATGGTCCAGGAAACGAAAGCACACATAGCACCAACGACCCAGTCATTCTTTTTGCGCTTTGCCTGGCTTTGCCTTTTGAAGCTTTTATGTGAATTCCAACATTTATCCAAAAAGGGAGGCATTGTTCACAGCCACATATTGCTAGACTCCTACTGTAGACATTTGAGGATTCCATTCTATCTTTTTCCTGTGATTTTTCTTGAAGATGCTTCTGTAATGATGCAGCTTGAGGCAGTTTTCACTGCAGGAGCCCTGGGTGCTGCCCTGAGAACCCTTAGTGTGTTGTGTGTTTCCTGAGTATGTTTTACCATGATTTGATGATTCTGCTCTCCATTCTGACCATGAGTTGACCATGGTTGACCTTAATAATGCAGAATAAACATGAGCGAATTTGCTACTCAAGATGACCGATTTGCTGGGCGGTACAGTACCCCATTTTTGAGCCATGCAAGCATTGATTCCACATGACAACTTAACTTGACTGACAAATATTGTAATCGGATTGATCGGTGCTCAAGAGTGCAGCTGCACCAACGTTCACGTTCCATGCAGTTTGAGGTTCTGGCAAATCCTTCACTGTTGGTTGGCTTGCTGACCAGGAGAGATATGGGAAGAGAAATTGCCACGATGTCATTTGCTCGATATCCTTTTTCTCTTCTGGATTCTGGTCACCCAAGCATGTTTTTGGGTGAATTGTGGTTAGTGGCTTGAAATGCTTGAATGTGAAGAATCGCAGGGCTTGATGCCTGCTTTGGCAAGCAGCGTTGGGTCCCGAGCTGCCAGAGCGGACCTTTGCAATTGATTTGAACTCAGATTGAGATTGCACAATTCATTCGGAAATTGATTCCCTTCATGTGCATTCAGGTATTGGTCAAAAGACATCAAAAGACATCTTTCATACCTCCATTCCGCGCCAGCGAATGAAATCGATAAACACCACAAGAAGTCGATATTCAATATATAATAGATGTAATATAATGTAATATATGTATACACCATATAAACATGATATGGATAGACATGATCAGGATATCCAAAACGGCGCAAGAGGCGAAATCGAAGCAGAGATACTTTTTCGCCTTGGACGATATTTTGGTTTTGAAGATAACAGAAACAACATGAAATGACAACTATGAGACTATGACTATGAGTGTTATATTATATAGAATGTCATTGCAGGAAGACCTGCATATCTTTGCCTTTGGTTCCGTTGCTGCTCGTCTCTGCTTTGAGGTCTATATCAACCCAGACACCATTGCAAGAGCTCTGCCAGTCGGTTTGCTCAGCAATTTTGGCTGGACTTACTCTCAGTATGTCTCACAGCTGCTCTTTCTTTTTCTCCATATTTTAAACATCTTGAACTGTCCATGTTTGGACGATACGTACAAGAAATGATTTGACCAATATGAAATCAAACATTATTTGGATCTGTGGAAGGACATTGCCCATTTGGAATGAGGAGACTTTCCTTTGCTTCAAGAGCATATTTTGAGATATTATTTTGCATCTTCCTTCACTCCTGGAAAGGACAAAGGGTTTGAGTCAGTGTGGACAAGAAACAGAAGAGTATTTGGGTGCACTCAACAGCAGAAGCGCGCAAAAAAAAAATAAAACGGGGAGGGTTAGCAACCAAGAGATCAAGTCGAGCTTAGGGGAGCTTACAACTTTGGCCAGGCTCAGTTGAATTTACAGGCATTGATGAAGATTTACATTTTCAACTTGCTTACACTCCATCTTACACCTGCATCTATAGCAACACAGACACATCCGCAGGTACATCTTTGTACACTAGACTATGCACCTCGAAAGCCCAACTCAAGCCTTTCATCATATTTGCCTGCAGAATCTCGCCAAGTTGTCAACGTGTTTCAGATGGGATCGGGATGTCTGTCATCTCTGGCAAGCTAAGGAATGGCATGAGTACCTCCGTCATCATAAAATCAATGGCGTGGGCCTTGTGGCGACTGATAAAGCCAAGGACGAGAGGAATAGAATACTTTATTAGGATTACCAAATGATAGACTGTTTCCAGGATCCATTTATCATGCTCCTGCAGTAGAGTTTAGCTGGATAACTCCAATAAAGACACTTCCAAGAGCCTGACACCATGCCCACCGTTGTGAACAATTTATCCTTGTATTTCATATAATTCTGAGCACAACTATATAGATGCAGATCCATTTTATTTCTGTGCTCTGATATTGCTCCTATTATTTTACAGTAATTCCTTTTTAATGTGATTTTGTGGCCACTGTTGGACAGCAACCTGGTACCGAACTGAGGCCATGAGATGTGCCTGAAAGAAGTTGAAGACTCAAGATGGCCTGGCTGAACATTTGGTGAGTTTTGCATGTCATTTTAACGTTCTTCCAACAGGGAGTAAAGAGTAAAGATGAATAAAGGACTATATACCTACTTACTACTTTGGGTGTTGGACCATTGATATTGAAACAATTGTTGTCTTGCGAATTGATGCAATCGGCAGTAAGGCTGGTTTGATTGCGGAGGTGGCGCTCTGGGCTGCATTGAGGCATGGCCTATCAGTGTGCGGGGGAACCCAAGGGCCAAGATGCCTGGAATGCTTTGAAATCTTCAAACAGGCCAAGTTTCATCCACTTAAGCAGATCAGGAGCAGAGGCGATGTTTACACATGCACATGGCATACAGACTCCAGCCAGTCACCAGAATTCAAGGGCCGGGGTGCAGCATCCCTTGGAAGTGAGAATCGATTAAATGATTGGATCCAAAGCACCAGTTTGAATCCCTCAAACGACCCCCATGATTCCCTTTGAGCGGTTTCAACATATCATGTGGCAGTACTTGTACTCCAATTTCATGTCGTGGTTGTGGTATGTCATACAATGCAATGTATGTAATTGAATCAGTGTACTACATAATTTATACAATGGCATGCAATGTAATGGAATGGAACTTAAGTGTATGTACTCCCTGGCAAAATAACATAGACAAAGAAAAACAATTTATTTTTGGTCCAGGTTAATTGGGGGGTGTTTCCGGTGCGGGATGGTCCAGGTCAACCTCAAAAATCACGATTTTGGCAATTTTTAAGTAGGAATAAATTGAATTATTTTGAATGGAGATATGGAGATCATTCATTTTTTGGGATTTTGGGGCAATTCAGTTGACTTTCCCAACATGTGAACCTCAAACCTTAACATAGAAGCAAATAGAAAATCCATGGGGTAGACTTTTTTTTTTCCATGTTAAGATAAAACCCCTGACCGCAGGTGCCATGTTAAGAGAGGTTTTTTTTCTGTCTTTCGATGTGTATGTTATTTTGCAAGGGTGTATATAATTACATATATGATATATGCGTATGATACATATATTAGGATATACAGATATACAGATACTAATCCGTAGAGAAGCACACGTGTGTGTGTAAATATATATATGTAACACATACAATACATCTAGAAATGTAACTACATGTATATGTACAGATAAATATTTTCCTATACCTACACCACTACACATTTAGTGTCCATACATCTATGTTTTTTTTTTCTGTTGCCGGAACACAACAATCCTCAATTACCGAACAGTTTTTTGCAGCAGTTCCAAGGCTTTGACTCCTCTCTTCGTGATGGAGAATGGCATCGGCAGCTCTTCCAGAGGATTTGCCGAGAGCATCCGCAGTACAGGCATTCCAATGTTCCGATTTTCTGATTTTCCTCATGGTTTCAATATATTTCAATGATTTCAATGCTCGACTATTTGATTCTAAGTTGATTGCACGAAGGGCGCCTTAAATGTCCTGGATGCTCATGAGATCGTCCTTGTACTAATCCATCGCTCCAAGCCAGCACGATCTGCAGGTTGACCTTGCTTCATGTCGATGTTGACTCAGAGGCTCTGAACATGACGTGGAGAGGGAATCAGAGGGCAAGCTTGCGTTGTCTGATGGTTACTGATGGTTGCAGTATGCTACATGCATTGGAACTGTATGACTTTTGTCATGCCTGAGGGATGTCCAAAGATGTCCAAAGGATTGAATCTTTGAGGAAAGGCAAGATCAGAATAGCATGATATGGCATGCTATGGCATCTGGCATGGCACGAAAGAGCGGGGCATAGCGACTGCAAGGCTGCTTTGCCTGTCTTACTGCAACGTGCCGCAGCACGTGGAGTCCGCTCTGGGCGCCAGGCCGAAGCTGATTGAAGTGAGTTATGTTGTGCAAGTTGCCAACTGTGCCTAGCTTGCTAGCGAGTTCATGCACATCAACTTTGTGCAGGTCAACACACGCCACGTGTCGCAAAATAGGTATGTGTGTTTTCTTGTTTTACATTGCAGCATGTATAAGTAAACTAATTAGCGTATGTACATGCATCTTTATGTATTGACATTCTCATTTACAATATCAACATATATTAAATTATATGTATATACGCATCATGTTCTGTTCAATACCGGGAGACCGGGAACGGCGGAAAGTACGTGGTAGTAAAGCACAAACGACAAACACATCACACATGGTGCAGCATAGCTATCACATGCAATTGACATTGACTGACATTGTATCAGCTATGCGGCAATGTGTGCATCAGCCGTCAGCCCATAGCGGCATAGCTGTGCCGGCAGAGTCTGCAGAGTGATTCCGTTTTCCTCAGGTCCCAGCAGAGGCGATTCAAGCGAGTGCTCGGACACCTGAGGCATACCTGAGACATCCTGAGACTAGGTAGGCCCGGGGTCCAACGTTCTCACACAATCTCACACATACATTTGTTACATGATGACTGCCAAGAAGACTGCGCCCTGTGATCGGGTGTGGCATCAATTTCTTGAATGATAGTGTTAAAGCCAACGACATATCACAAAGATTCATAAAGAGAGCTTCTATACTTTGCAGCATCCTGTGCCCGAAAGGAACGCAGAATAAATGGTTTTGTCGATCCCTACATGTTCTCAACACGTGGATCGTATAATCATAGAATCATACACCACGTGGATCGTATAATCATAGAATCATATATACAACATGCAGATTTATAGCATACATTTGACATGTTTTTCTGCGCCATGCAAGATGGTGAGCAACTCTCCCAATAACTCGCACAGGTCCAGGTCAAACCCGAGCATATTTCATTTATTCAACCTGCTGAAGTCAGTTGTTTGCATGTCAGAGATTGGACTGTGTAACAGGAAACAGCTTGAAGCAAGACAATTTGATCCTAGTCCGAATTTGATCCGATTAATTACAATTTGATATAATGCAATACAATGAGAATGTATTCCTTGGCGACTCAATGCTCTAGTGACTCCAGTGCATGCACATGCCAGGTTGACACGTTTGTTGAGATATATTAAGATGTGTTATGGTAGCACAGTCCAAAGTCAATCGATGTCCTATAGGTCCTATAATACAGTTTGGGAGGACAACATCATAGGCAATCGCGACCTTTGCATCTTAGGCCTGTTCTTTTTGAGCATTTTTGAAGCCGTATTCGCAGCCTCCAAGGTCGAGTTTGTCCCTATATCTGTATCTCAGGCTTGGATTTAAAGGATGCTCACATTGTGATGGGCACTCAAAAAGAGTGGTTGTTTGGTGACCGAAAAGTCAAAGTCTCGAGGATAAGAGCAGGTTTCGTTTGTTCGTTCATCTCTTTCTGCTTCTTGAACTAGAGTGACATTTTGGCAATGAAATGCATGTTTTGCTTTGCAGAACCTTGAGATTTACAAGAATATAACAGTTTGAGGCATGCTTGCAACATCTTGCAACCATCCGAAGGTTGCGGATGTCGTTGATCTCTATGTACGGGTGCACAACTGCGTCGAACAGGCAGAAGGGTGTTGCCAGTCCGATTGACAGCGGAGCATCGTCCAACTTTGTGAAGCCAAATGAAGCGTATTACCGAGTTAGGTCGCCATTGAGTCCATTGCATGCATGAATCCAATCCAGAATCCACAAGTGATGTGGGGCTAAGCAGATAATTGTTTGCATGACATTCTTACGGGTGCTGGTAAATCAATCTGCGGAACGTTGATTTCTTAACAATGGTTGCAACTGCATGAGGAAGATGGCCAGCCATACATCGCGGCCCTATGTGCCAGAGTTGATGGTGCCACTTGGAGTGAACTAGACACATTCAAGAGGGGTTTATATATGTTTTTATCATGTTTTATTATGTTTTATTATCGATGGTTGACAGATGTTGACAGTAGGTGGCTACTGGCTAGAGTTTGGTGCACCAAAACGAGTCCTGGTACCCTGTTCTAACAAATCGATCCATCACGATCAATCTTGGAAAGCTGACCTGATTAAATGAGGAGGCTTCTCACATCTTCTCACACAACGTAGACTTGCATTGGGTCACATCCGTTCCCTAGGAGGGAGAGCGGTCACTGCAAGATTTTAAGAAAGACCGTGAACGCAGTCAGCACAATTTCTTGACAAACAAAAGTACATTTTGCTTAATTTCCATTGTCCATGCGGACAGTTGCACTCGAGAGCAATCAATGCTTGTCCGCTAGATGCTAGATACTTTCTGGAAAGCTCAACGTGTTACGCTTTTGTATACTGATCAGAACCTAAATGATTCAACATCGCTTCAGAGCAGTCTTACTTGTAGTTTGCCACTGAACATTATCCAGCTGAGGTGGCTTCTTTGTTTGAGGAGGATCAGGCAGAGCAAGCCGCTGCGTTTGGATTCTCAAGACTCAAAGGAAACTTCACTTCACCTTGAACATCCTTGAACCGTGTCCAAAACATCCGCAAACTACGAAGGCCAGTTCCTTGCACCAGGCCGCCTCAAGTTGTTGCAGGAACTTGACGCAGAACAGCTTTGAGAAGTTGGACAGATATTAGACATTATTAGACGATATAGACAGATGAGATAGACTTGCGCCTTCTTGGTGCATCTTGGTGCATCTTGGCGCCTTTCTTGTGCCAACCAGACTGACAAGGTCTGAGCTCCTCGCAACTATGCTTTGGCGCCCTGTGCGCAGGCAAAATCATTTTGCTTTGATGCAGACTCCAATCAACATTCCAGCTGCTTCTAGCTTCGAGAACTACTACTCCATACCAACATTTACTGTACAATATGATGTGCAATATGTGCATGATTTGCAATGTGCGTATATATTATTATATAATATCTTTAGGAGAAAATAAACATACGCTTGTCTCAGTGAAACGTGCCAAGTTGAACTGGCTACTATGCCTATACTGTCTAACTCAAAAGGCTGTTCAAGGAAGAAACATGCACCATCTTTGGCATGGGCATGACAGTGTCAGTCTCGCCCGTCGATGTCAGGCCTGAGGCATTGTGCGGATAGCGCCGCTTCTGAGCAAGTGCACTGTTCATGTTGTTGGAATTCCTCGTATCATCTCATATCCAATTTTTTAAACTTTCAGCAGGAAATGGCACAGCAACAAACCGAGTTGCAGAGTGCCAATCACCGCTTAAGGCTTAAGGTGTTCGATTTCTGGCAATACTTTATTCGCATTCCTGCTACTGTACTTTTACTGTGCATTTGTTGGTTGCAGCTTGAACGCAAATACAGTAGGGTGATGTCCCCCTTCCTATTGCCAGGAGTTCTTCCTTTCCTTGACAGCACATAGTCCGTTTTGCATCAACAAGTGGACCTGAACAACCTCTCATTATTTCCTTAATTGTGCTTGATCCCGGGTATTACGTGATTTATTTATTTGTTGCGAGTTGGTCCATTGGTGCGCTTGATTGATGAGTTCCACCTTTGCAGTGGCAGTTTGAGCTTTGAACAACAGCTGCTGGGATTTGATGACAATTGAAATACTGTAGGCAAGGACACAGAAGACACGAGATTGATTGAAGTTCACTATTGACATGATTGGTGGTTTGTAGTTGTAGATGCGTGTGGATGCTGGTTGGCGTTTGTCGTGAGACAGCAATCGCATGGAAGGAGTTCTCAGCAAATTCACCGCGTGATTTCATATTTCTGCTCCAGCATTGCCGTCTAGCTATTTCCTGAAACTGCCGCTGCTTGTAAGATGCCGCTAAGCATCAGTCCGAAAAAAAATTGCCCATTGTCTCACTAGAGTCGCCATTTGTATCATTTGATATCATTTGTATCTTCTATATAGGTTATAGAGGTTGAAGTCTGGTTGCAAGCTGACAAGATGAATTTGGAAAGCAGTCTCTAAATTGATACGCCATTATCATTATAATATATACATGTATAATTTACACATATATACTGTAAGTATAGTTTGCATTGACAAATTGGTGTTTAAAATCCCATGATGATATGTGCATGTATGTCTAGATGGCTTTACGCAGGTTCAGAATCTGTTGACAGGCAGCCAATCCTTTGTAGATCCTTAGATCTATCAATCATCATGAATACTCGCATCACATTATCTCCATAATGATTCATCACACATACAGAATGTATGTAAAAATACAGAGTACCAGTATGTGCATAGCATAGATATTCTGTCAATGCGCACAATAAATGCATGTACTAGTTGTATCATATTGTATCATGTTGTATGACGTTGTATCTACTGTAGCTGTATCTAATTTTATCGAATTGCTCCCTTTGTTGTATATCTAAATCTAAACTGTAGTTTTATCATGTTTTGTACAATGTTTTGTACAATGTTTTGTACAATGTTGTACAGAGTCTGCTGCAGGAGGGCCTCTGCGAGAGCTGGAGGTCCGGGCAGCTCCACGTCCTGCCTCACCAGCTCGAAGGGAGGCCTAGCACTTGCCGTGAGGCTGCGGATGAAGATGATCTACAGTGATCAGTAAGATGACACATGATGAACATGAAGGCAGCTGAAAGACAAAGGCATAAAAATTAAGATGGACTCAACTTGCAGGTTCAGCTGGCGACTCTATCTAAGTGTATTTGAAGATGTATTTCAATATGCAATTGAATATGTATGATGAATTACTTTCAAAACAAATTTCAATTTTCCGATGAGAAAAAGTCCCACTTTGAAAGGCTTGCGCCATAAGGAACAATTTTCAAAACCGTTTTGCAGAAACACCGCTCAATTATTGATTTCAATTCTCATTGCCAGCACTTATAAAGCCATCCCTTTCATGAAGCGAGAGAGATCGAGAGAGCATTTCTGACGTTTGCTTCGAGAACTGAAGGTATCAAGGAGAGGTTTGATTGGGAGCGCATGGGAGAGCGTCACTATGCGTCACTAAGGTTTGCTCAGCTGGACTGCTCCACCACTGTCCCCACGGAAAGCGAAGACCCTCACAGAACGAGAGGTGGGTACCCAGATTGATACCCTCGAAATTAGCTTTCAATTTACTTGTGTTGACACCAATCCTTCAACCCTCTAAGTACTGGGTTTTCTAAAGTTACATTACAATACATTACATGTCTTGGATCAAATTTGAATCAATAATTCCGAAGGATCATAGAAGACCCACATTTTCTCGCATCATGGAAAGGAACTTCTGTGCAACTCAGTCATTGTTTCTGATGGCTTGAGGAAAGCGATTGGACCGAGACTGAAAAAAGGGAGGGCAGAATGCAAGAAGACGAGAACATAGGCAGTTGAGAAACCGCAAGACAAAAAAGCCAGGTGCCACCGGCTGATGAAGAGAAGCACAGGCAAGACCAATGAGACTAGGCTTGCTGTTGCTTATGCAGTTCAAATGGATGAAGCCAGCTTTTCGCTCATAGAATGAAACATATAAAACTGTAAAGTAATCAGTTTAGTCAGCATGGCCAGATTTGGCTTAGAATCGTTGTTTGGAAGGGCTTTGCAGAGCTGTCTCGTAGTCTATCTCGGCTTTGTGTTGTAATTATGCTTGTAAATTGTTGAAATGTATTGTAATGTGTTTTGTTTGTTGCTGTCTTCTCGGCCTTTTTCACCCTTTTTCGCTTGTATGCATCAGTAAGCGAAAGATCAGTGAGACAGAGATGGGCGAAGCCTCTTGCAAAGAGGACTAAGACATACGAAGGCAAGAGAACACGTGCGAGTTTGAACCAGCTGTTCGAAGGTCAGAAGCACCGCATGCCAGAAGCTCAATGACCAAGCAAGAGAACTGCACGAGGAAGTTTCTGCGGAGAAACACTCAATGGAGCTCTTTGAGGATATTTGATACATAGTTGCATAATTTAATTAAGTGCTCGTATCATGGATTGTTATGTTTTTGTTTCAAGTTTGCATCACATGCGCTGCTCGATGCCAAAGTGAGGCCGAGATCAAGAGCTTCCAGGACGAAAGAACTTTCTTGGGCTATCAAATCTTCTTTGATCCGTAGAGTTTGCAGATCCTCATAGATCTTGAGCAAAAATATGTACAAATGAAATCAAATGAAAGGAACAAACCCTACTGAAACTCAAGGCTTTCATAAAAGTGCTGCTTGTCAACTTATGTGCCGACGTGGTATATGGACCATGCTTCGTTGCAAACTATGTGGGTTGACTCCTCCATCTGCACCGTCTGTCAGGATTGATCCATTTCGTTCGTGATCTGTTGTTTTGACTTGTTTTGAACTCTATCTCGAGCATTTCTACAGCCGGTTGTCGAATATGTCATCAACCATTCTCTAAAGACGCTGCATACGAAATGGTTGCAATAGCTGTTTCCAAGACTTTTTCTCCAGACTATTTGGCGTCAAAATTAACATAGCCTGCAGGAGGCGAGGCAAGCAGTTATAGAGGAGTCCAGACTTCCACGACCTCAGGTTGTTGGTATTCCCAAGAGCTTCTGGGGACGGGGAAGGGTAACACATAGTAACAGATGGTAACAGTTGGGCACTTTGAATATAATAATATACGCATACATCATAATGTATATATTTGATAATATAATATGATATAATATGATATAGTAATAATATAATATAATGTAATATGATATAATAATATAATCATATAATAATACAATCATAATGTAATATAATCATAATGCAATATAATCATAATGTAATATAATATAATAATATAAAAATATAAAACTATAAAACTATAATAATATAATACAATAATATAATATAATAATATAATAATATAATATAATAATATAATAATATAATATAATAATATAATAATATAATAATATAATAATATAATAATATGATAATATAATAATATGATAATATAATAATATGATAATATAATACAATATCATATGATATGATATGTTATAATACCATATCATATTATATGATATATGATATGATATAATATAATAGATATGTAACATATACACATAATAATAAATAAATAAATATATATATATTCTATACGTATGGTATGGTATGGTATAGTAGGGTAGGGTAGGGTGTAGGTAGGTAGGTATGTAGGTATATATATATACACATAAAGAAGACTGGACAGGTGCCCAGGAACAGCCATGCAGAAAAGTCACTGGAATATCCTAATATATATATACACATATAATTATATATACCCCAAAAGAATGAAACCTGCAAAAACAGACAGTCTGCACCATTTTTCTTCTGCACCAATTTGTAAGATGGAAGATCAAGGGATTTACCTTCCAACAATGCCATGGCATCCCAATGTATCCCGATGGAATCCCAATCCAGACTTTGTGTACTAGTGATTACTAGTGTACCAAGCCGAGAGCACTCCAGGAAGAAAGTCATGTGAATGTGCAAGAAAGCACAAGAAAGCACAATCATGCAAAGTGGGAATTGCAAGCCGTACTTGTAGCCGATGTTGATGCTCAGAGAGAGGCTGACGCCAGTTCAAAGCCTGCACGGGCTTCGAGGGTTTACTGCTGAAGATTTTGGTGTATGACGGCTCTTTGGGGAATGCTAGTTTCTCTGTGAAGGAAGGGAAAGACCTATCAGAAATATTCAGAAATTGGAGAATGACAGCAGTGAGGGAGTGAAAACCATGCGAAGACAATGTCCAAGATCTCCAATGTATAGAAATTCTATCAGACAAATTCGAACAAGAGAAACGCCGTGACACTGTGATGAAACGAGCGCATCGCCGCATCGCCGCATCGCCTGGCAAATGAGGCTATTCGGCGCCAGAAGGACCCGCGGCAAGAAATGCCTGGGATTCCCAGATGATGTCCAAATCCCAAATTCAAAATCATCTAAGAGACAAACATCTTACATAAGTTTACTTTGTTTTAAGATGTTTTGATGATTTTGCTCATAAGACATTGCTATCCTGTGTGAACGTGGGCAATGTATATGTGAAGCTATGGCACCGAAACATTGATACATCGAGAATAGAAAACGTTCTTTTTTTTCCACTACAAAACATTTGATCTGCAACAGTCGGTTTGTTTGTTGCCCCGCCTGCCGTTCCTTTTCCTGAGATTGGAGCTGCTTCTACTATGGCCATATTGGCAAAGCAGATCCTTTGACTTGCCACATTTTTTCGCAGTTTTGCTTAGCAGTCCTGTTTAAGCTGTTTTGACATGTTTTGGCTGTGCCGGGTTGCCTGTGGAAGTCATCAACGAAGAATCTTTGCAGGACCGTGTCCTGGCGGATGGACGGATTGAAGCGAAGCACCTGGAGGAGCCAATCTAGTGCTGGATATTACACCTCGATTGACAACCAACAAAACCAACAAAAAACCGTCTGAAAGAATCAGGTTTGAATCTGTTTGGATGCTCATGATAGAAATCAGCCATGGTAAAGATTAGCATTGCAATGAAGAGCTTTGCAGCACTAGTGACGTTGCTGCTCACACCTTCAAACAGAGTGGGGGTATGGTTCCTCTGGCTTTCATCCAAACACATTCACAGACCTGACAAGTGTGTTTCCACAATTCTACCCTAGCACCCAGGAGCGAGAGAAGCAGTGCCAAAGGCCGTTCCACCTGAAAAGCGAGCGGCTAGAAAAAAGCCTGAGACTTGTTGAAAGCCTCGTGATAATTCGTGATATCGTGATATACGGTACATTGTGTGTACGCAGTGTACGCCAGTATAAATTTAGTGCCTTTGTGCAGGGCCGAGCGGCCAAAGCCTTTGGCAACGACGCCATCTAGTAGCAGCTTGACGACGTCTGCCGGTGCATGGAAAAGTCCAAGGCACACACCGGCATGGTGATTGACGTGATTGGGATGTGGGTGTGATGTGGGTGTGAAGTTAGATGTGCTGTGAAGGGAAACAAAAATGATTGACTACGAGTCACAGGACTCCATTCTACCCTTCTTCATGCATTCAATATCATTCAATCTGTTTGACTGAACCTTTAATGTTTGGATATGTTTGGTGTCTGATTCGTGGAATCCAGCTGCTGCAAGCCTGGAGTCTCATACCTACGGCCCTACGGTAAGAAAAGGCACAGGTTTGGCTCTTGCAGAGATGACATGACACAAATTAGCATCACTGAAGTCTTCATGCTATGGAGGCATCTCCTTGAAATCCATGTTGAATCACATGTGTAAGTCCAATAAACTTCCAACATTTCCTTTCTCGGGTGCTGCTATGTGCTGCTTTCCGCTTCTTCTTTTGTCCAGGTCGCGAGCAACAAGTCCTCGATCTCGGTAGGGGTACTAAGGTGACCATGCGATCTCTCCGGGTTCATCCAGATCATCAGAGAGCACAAAGGTTTTTTTGAAGCGTGTGCAGCTTGCGCTCAAGTCCATAATTTCATGATTCTTTTTTGGTTATGATATTTCACGATCGACATTCTTTTTTGTTTTTTTTTGTCTTTGATGCTGTGCGGCTTTTTGCAACTGGTATCAGTCAGGCTGTAAGCGGTCCAACTGAGCAATGCCAATGACGTGGCTGAGGATGTCAGACGTTTTCTACAGCCAATTCTCGCTCACTCGATATCCAGAGACAGCCATGAGCTAAGCTTGTCAGACTTTGAGCCAAGCTTGAGACAAGATGGACAGGTTGTGACAACCAGTTGTCATGACTGCATACATTCACCTTTTTCCATGTTTTTCATTTCCTTGTCCTGCCAGCAGTGGACTCTTCTGGCTTGGAAACCATATTTTGGCCGTTTATGGCCGTTTGCAGCTTGCTGGAACACTTCAACACTGCATGTTTACCACTTCCTGGTGCATTTCTCATGGCAGCTTTATAGATAATACGCAACAGTCACTCAAATTCAATACCGAAGTGCACGGATATGAAATCATTTTGGGCACACATTTGATTTTTCAATTGCTGTGTAAGATGCCTTGATTGCATTTTGTTGGGGGGGATCGCTGTGCCAACGATTGCCGCTGAGGCTGCCGCAGTTTGAGCCTTGGTTTGGTCACTTGCTGACCTGGGCTAACATCGTTTGCTTTTGCCACACCTTGTGGTTGAACATGTTCGAACATCTTGCGATATGTTTCGTATTTTCATCTTTCTCAACGCAGAGCTGCTCCCTTTTAGGTGCTTTGCAATTTCCAGTGCCAACAGTTCACATAGCTTGAAAATGGATGAAAATTGGTATATATTGGTGTTTAGCATTGTTGAGCCCCAAAGTGAATCCTTTTGGAGATTAATCAGACTTCATCAGCCTGGCGTCGACAACAATCAGCAATCAGCATTTATTGTCATTTTTGCAGAGTCGCAAGGAAACTAATCGGCTTCAACCGGAAATTAAATTGGGGCCGGCCCTGGTGAAGAATTGAGTTACTTTAGTATTTACTGGCTGGTGCTCAAGCAGGAGTGGATGAGTGGAGCTAGGTGTAAAGAACAGATTTTTTAACATTTTGGGAAGCACAGTTTTCATGAACAATTGTTTCATATTTGACGCTGAGGCGCAACGATCGCCTATGAGGACTTGCCATTTTTGAATATACTCGATTATGCTGCAATTGTGTTACAATGATTCTGGACGAATTTCAAAAGCCCTAAGACAGCAAAGGTGTAGTTCACCACAGATAGGCGGCGCATATGCAATACAAACAAAGAACATCAAAGAACACCCGTGGCTGCTGCACTCCTTTTTCGCTGCATTGTTTTACACGGCTCCAATTTGACAGACCACCCACACCCCTTTTTACATTTTTTACATTATTTGTGCAGAAAACAGTTTGAACCTCTTGCAGCTGTAGGACCTGTTGAAATATCGAACAAGGAAATGCAGTCCTGGGACATCCCAAAAAGAACATACCGTATACCTTTACCATACTTTACCATTCTGAGGTTGAGAAGGAGTGACAGAAAAGACTTTTCAGGACCCAAACTTATCCAAACTTCAAGGTGAGCTGAGACTTGTTTGCTGCGGAATTCCAGGAGCGCCATTGCTTCGCAGGGACATCCGATTGATTTGGTGCCCAAATGGCAGCCACCTCGGCCAACAGGGCTCACAGGTGCGAAGATTTGCGCAGGGTCAAGCTTTATTTTGATTTATTTTGGGCATCTCGGGATGGCGCATTTCAATGTCTGCAATGACCGGGTTTGTCTTGCGCATTTCTAAGACCTGAAAGGGCCTTCCATGGCCTTCGTTTTCAATTTTTTTCAAATCTGAACAGAGCAAGAGTACGCGCAAACACCCCGTTTCGCCCACACCCTTCTTGTCTTGGGAAGATCAACAAAGGTATTAGGGAATTCAAAAGTCCCACCCCCGTTAAACTTTACATTCATTTTACATTCATTGAAGATCTTCAATAAGAGTTTAATTCTCCCACCCCCGTTAAACTTCTACATTCATTGAAGATCTTCAATAAGGGTTTAATTCTCCCACCCCCGTTAAACCTCTACATTCATTGAAGATCTTCAATAAGGGTTTAATTCTCCCACCCGCGTTAAACCTCTACATTCATTGAAGATCTTCAATTCATTGAAGATCTTCAATAAGGGTTTAATTCTCCCACCCCCGTTAAACCTCTACATTCATTGAAGATCTTCAATAAGGTTTTAATTCTCCCACCCGCGTTAAACCTCTACATTCATTGAAGATCTTCAATTCATTGAAGATCTTCAATAAGGGTTTAATTCTCCCACCCCCGTTAAACTTCTACATTCATTGAAGGCCATCAATAAGAGTTTAATTCCCACCCCCGTTAAACCTCTACATTCATTGAAGATCTTCAATAAGGGTTTAATTCTCCCACCGAGGTCAAACTTCTATATTCGTTGAAGATCTTCATTGATGATGATGATGATGATGATGGTGATGGTGATGATGATGATGATGATGATGATGTGGAATGAACCCGCACAGGTCCCTCTGCTGTGCGTTCTGATCTAGAACATCAAGTTAACAATAATGCTAAAATATCCAATTTTTACCACGTTTTCAGCTCATACGAAGAAGGCGGGCCAACAGGCGCGGGCAAGACGAGGTGTTTGGCCGTAAGAGTAGTCTCTTTATATCTTCACCAGACATCGTTTTCTCGCTGGTCAAACTCAGTCGCCGTGTGCGTTTCTCACATCCCGCAGTTTCTTGTGTTCAGGGAGAAGCAAGAGTCCAACTGGAGGAAGACTACCTGGGTGGACAAGAGGCAGCATATCAGATGTGCTGTGTTTCTTGCATGTAAACTAATCCTGTCATATCCTGTCCCCGAAGTGCACTTGGGCTGCTGTTTTGTGCCACAATACCGGTCTCAATTTGTTGCCCTCTTTGATCATGATCATACAGCATACAAATAATTCCGAACCTGAATCAAGGAGTGTAACTAATTTTGCGAATTCAAATTTGGATGAGAAGACAACAAAACGTGTATAATTAATTATAATTACATAATTTATATAATTATATTATAATATTATATATATGTTACAATATATATATATACATATTTCAAATATTTTGAAAGCATACACATGTGCTGGGACTTTGAAAGGCTACTAGCTGCTGCAAGTGAAGCTTCTGGTTTCGAAGTGCTAGTTTTTGCGCAGACAGGCAGTTGCCGCAGTGTGAGCCCACCAGGCATGGAAATTTGAAGGGCTTGTGGACAAAGTAGACACACATACGAATCATCATGATATTAATATAAGAGTCACGGTCAAAATGGTTGAAGACCACTTTAGTATTGCAGGAGTTTTTTGTAAGAGATGTGCACGAAACACTATAAAGCGATAGGCCCCCCCCCAAAGCGATAACCTGGGACCATACACGACAATCCATTTAACTTGGCGTAAACCAAGCAAATACTGTTATGCACATTCACAGAACCGGCAAAACCAATGAGAGAAATTCAACCTGTGGTGCCCTGTTTCCTGCAGTTACCCTATCATTTGGTATCGAACTCGCTCGCTCGCTCGCTCTCTTTCTTTCGTTCGTTCGTTCTTTCTTTCTTTCTCTCTCTCTCTCTCTTTTTTTTTCTCTCTCTCTCTCTCTCACACTCTGTCGTTTTTGCGGCAAATTTCCTTCGAACAATGTCATATGTTCGAGGGATTATTTTGCGATAACCTTAGCGATAGCCATTTGTTGCACTCGATCCCCTGGCCAAGCCATAGAGCCATTTCCACAAGTTTAGAAAGGACATGAATGCAAAATGAAAGGAAAATGCATGCAAATGAAAGGAAGAAAGGACATGCATGCACATTGGAATGAAAATGAAAGGAATATGAAAGGAAAATGAAGGGAAATGAATACAAATGAAAGGATAATGAAAGGAAAATGACAGGAAATGAATGCAACATGAAGGGAATATGCATGCAAATGAAAGGAAGAATCAAGTCCGATTCCACAACTTCTCCGGATTGCGCAACTAGGATTGCGCAACTCTTTGGTCGGATTGCGCAAGTAGGATTACGAAACTTGGCTTGCGCAACTTCCAGGATTGCGCGACTCCGCTTGCGCAACTTCCAGGATTGCGCAACTCTGCTTGCGCAACTCGTAGGATTGCGCAAATGCTTTTGACAGATTGCGCAACTCCCAGGAGTGCAACTCTGCTTGTGCAACTACGCTGGCCCGATTGCGCAACTCTGCAACTACACTTCCTCCAGACATTTCCAGCCCCCATAGAACTTGAAAATGACAAGTGCCGTCCACAAGAGCAAGACGTTATCAAAATTCCCATTCCCATGGAACTTCAAGCTGACTTGGAGTGTCCACAAGGTTAAGACGATATCAAAATTCCCAGCCCCATGGAACTTCAAACTGACTTGGAATGTCCACAAGGCTAAGATGATATCAAAATTCCCACCCCCATGGAACTTCAAACTGACTTGGAGTGTCCACAAGGTTAAGACGGTATCAAAATTCCCATCCCCATGGAACTTTAGAGTTTCGCAATACCAGTTTCACAATCTGACCCCAGAGTTTCACAGTCCGCCTTTAGAGTTGCACAATCCTACTTTATAGTTTCACAATCTGCATTTCAAGTTTCACAATACAAATTTCACAATCCGTGCGGCAAGTTTCGCAATCCGACTGGCAAGTTTCACAATCCAAGTTGCACAATCCGCCTGGGAAGTTTCACAATCCGACCGGGAAGTTTCACAATCCGACATTGGCCACGAAAGGAAAATGAAGGAAAATGCATGCAAATGAACCCATAATGACAGGAACATGAACTGTTGCCGAAGCAGCTGAAACCAACAAAACAACTCCTCGATCCATTTCCGAGCCTGTTTAGGAATGGATTTTGGTTTCATGTTGGATCTCGAATATGCATGAATATGCTGATTTCCACAAAGCGCTGGAAAGCGATAGGCCCCCCCCAAAAGCGATAACCATAACAATAGCAACTAATCACATGTAAAGGGTTTTGACAGAAACTCTAATAATTAATTAATAAGTATAAATAGATTATATATACACATAATATGCATACCCGTACATACACTCCAGACTAGACAACGTGAGGACCCTAACTCTCAGAGTGAGCAAGAAAAACGGGAGGTACCGGTATCATCAAAAAGTGCTCATCACATGTGGCTGGAACCTTTCATATCGAAGGCGTCATCACCTTCCCGTTTGCCCGTGCTCCAAACTTGGAGCTTCGCTCAGGCCGTTCCGGCCTAATGGCGTCCAATGACTGTCTCCTGCGGTTGCGACAGCGTCAGACAGACGAACACGTGGAGGAGTTTGGATGTATTTCGTTTGGATTTGCTGAAATTTGCTGCTTCACAGCTGCCAGGACCACATCAGCAAGCTTCTGGCTTATGAGCAGAAACTGACCCGCCAGTGGACTGCCTCTGAGCCTGGAGCCTCAGGGCCCGCTGGAATTTGCTTGAAGACTTCACGCAGGAGGTGAATAAAAGAAATGGAAGTGGCAATATGTGGCAATGACATTTGTTGATATCAACATATGTCAACATGTTTTATCATGTTTTATCATGTTTTATAATGTTTTATCGACTATTGTTGGAAGAAGGCCGGTTCGTTGACATTATTTGGAGCTATTTGGTGGGTACATCATCCTCCCCGCAAACTCAGCTCCAGATCTGGTTTTACTTGGGAACTCTGGGGGCATCTCTGGGCTCGCTGTAGCGCAGGTTCAGACTCATCGGCCAGGAGTTGCGAAGTCCGATTTACAGGGACGCGGCCAAGCCAGGAGCTGAGGATAGCTGAGGATAGGTGAGCGCTCAGGTGAGGATAGGTGAAGATGGGTGAGGGTCCTTACTTTTGAAGAGCAGAATACTTCCTGATTGCAACATGTTCCATCATGTTCCAAACTCATGCGCATGAGGTATAATTATGGTCGTAATATGTCGCGATATATTGCTCTACCAAGCTGAGAGGATCCATACTAGTATATGGCGTATGTTGAGACTGGGACATACCGAGAGACACGCATGAAAAACAGTATCTACTATACAAAATAAAACAAAGGATGCACAAGACATATCAAGACATCCTCACGTTGAGCGTTGCAACATGTTGCGCTGCCTTGCAAAGGTCCCCATCTAGCATGGCTCGGAGAGTTCGCAGTCCTCCGAGGTGGGGTTTGCCGAGGATGTCGTGGTCTAAGAGAAAAAAAAAACATGAACTTATGACTTGCACATCTTGCGCTCGCTGCAGAAATGATGTACAGTTGCAAACTACATGCTCAAACTGCAAACTCAAACCACCTTCGTAGCGTTAAATTTCAGGGCACACAAACCAGACCAGTCCCAGTCAATGCTGACTGGCGGCTTCTGGAGCGTGGCAGAACAGATGCAATGCAACTTCTATCTTACTCACACGTCACATGTCTCTTCAAGACCTGCCTCTTCAACTCACTGGACGAGGGTGCTGGGAGCTAAAAAAAAACTACATAAATAAAGCATAATAAAGCTAAAAAAACTAGACAATAGCACTCAAGCACGCTAAGGAAAAGCTCTTGGAGGGAGTGCCCCTTCCGCGGCCCAAAAGTGTTTTTTAAAACCTTTTTTAGCTTTTATTTTTTTAAAAGTGGTTTTGTTCTTTCTATTTTTTTAAGGTTTTTTAAAACTTTTGTTAGCATTTTTCAGCTTTTTGTATTTTTCTCTTGTTTCTTTCAGTTTTTCTGAATGTTCTTTGGTTTAAAGTTTTTGTAGCTTTAATATCCTTCGGCATTCCCTGTTTCTTCTGCAGATTTTGAATTGATTGTATGGAGTGCCAGTGGTGAGATCTCCAAAAAGAACCAAATATCACGCAGAATAGGATTGGTTTTTTCTAGCATTTTGTAGTTTTTGTTTGGATTCCTTCAGCTTCTTGTCGGATTCCCGTGGGATTCCTTTAGCATTTTCCAGCTCCAAATTGTTTGAAGCGACACCTCTTGAAGAGGCATGCCATATGATCCTATGATTCTAATCCAGCTCAAAGCGTGAGGCCAAGCGGCCACACAGTCATTACATGTTATGACTCAGTTATGACTGTTTCCTCTAAAGACCAGGGACTATGACATTGACATTTCCCCAAAAGGAGTTGAACTTCACAACAATTACATAATATATATATATGTATATATATATGATTATATATGTGTATTGTATTGATCTAACAGTCTCACTCTTGAACATATTGAACCATACCCACGAATCATTCCGATTGTGCATCTCAGTTTCTCATGAACCTTTGAATCGGTGTCACCAAAGATCAGTGCCCCTCAAGAGTTGGAGGGTGCTGATTAAAAACTGCAAACACAACAGAAACTGCTTGTCAAAACCACCTACGCTGGCAGCTGGTTGAGCACTTGAGCACCTTCCGCGTAGCTTTTCATAAGCTTTCCGCCACTCTCCAACTCTGGACGGATCAGCTGGAACTATGAACTGGTAAAGAACCTCAGTGAACCTGGACCAGTACGGGTAAAGAATCCATACATACCAAAAATACCAATGTCTTTTTGTCCGACCGTGGCAATTGCCAGGTTCGAATTTGGAGCCCGTCAGTAGAGTGAGATGCACTGGCAGTTGTCGGATTCAGCTGAGGGACCAAGTGATGAATTTTACCTTGGAACATCAGAGGGAACTGCCCGAGCCACAATATATATATATATATACACATAATTACATATATAGATCATATATAATGTTTCTGCGGTTGCAAAGCTTGGTCGAGTTTGACAAACAGTAGCAGCTTGGTATCAGTTGATTGTCCCTTGTAGTCTTGTTTGTTCCGGTCATTTCAAATTGGATACATAGAAGCCGATGTTTGAAATCCGACCAAGAGGGTCAGGACTTGTTGTGATTTGTATTTGGCGCACTTGCACTGCTAGAGTGTGCCGTGTATCAACAAATGCTTGCCGGATCATGCACTCAAGCAACGTCATCAAATTATCAACAGTGTTTGCTGGAGCCACCACAAATAATTGATCGGATTTTTCCATGGCCCTGATATTGGATCAGTAGTGATCAGTAGCAATGGTTGTTGCATCCTCATAGCTGGTCTTTGCTTCCTCCTGCCCATGTCTGAATTCAGAATAAACTAGAGATACTAGAGTGACGTGTTGTTTTCGAAGACCTTTCGCACAACCAATGTTACAGATAGGTCTTTGCTCTTGCTTTTTGGTATCTAGATTTAATGACAATGTAGACTCTTGATTTGCATTTGAATGGATTTGGCAGAAGTCCCCACGCCATGATTGCCCGAAGGACTTATTGACTCCGGTGTGTTTCCAGTGCAAATGAAATGGAACAGCAAAAACGTTATATAGACAAGGATGTGCTGATCAGGCACGGCTTTCCGAAGCTAATGAAACAACATGGACTCGTTTGGATGCAGGCAGGACTGTTCCTGCTGTTGGCCCTTGATTTGATTATAGAGTATGCAGTGTGATACGTTGGAGGGTTAAGCAAGAAACAGTTGCATCACATTGTGGCATACTGGAAACGTAGAACATCCAAGGACCAGCAAACTGTTGGAGTTTGACCATAGATGCTCTCAAGGGACTGAAATTCAGCAGCTTCAGCGCTCACGCCGCTGAGTTCGGAAATACAACAAGTGCTTGCAGCAAAACGATTTGGGAACATGTGTGTTGATTTGCATTGATTTGAATTGTCCAAGATCAAGACATTCCAAAGTAATTACTTTGCGCGGGCATATCAATCATTCTATTGAGTGGCTGAATGTGGCTGTAGCATGTTCAAACACATGGTTTGAAGGCAATGTATTTTCTTAAATTTGCAGGCAAAGCCCTTATGCTGGTGAAGATGAATGGAATGGAGCCAGCAGCATGTGTGCAAGATGTCTTCATGGTTTCTCTTATAGACTCGCACTTATTTCTTGCCATGTTGTGGATCAATTGTTAGTTCCCACGAATCGTCTGGAATCGGGATCCTTCTCAATCTGAGTGAGATGTTGGCAATGGTTTGATTTTGAATCTCCATCATATGTATCCACTGTATATCTCTGTGTTTGTCTGTGGATTTGGTTTGCTTCTTGAACTTTTCGTGCATCTTGTGGACTGCGGCCCAAACCCGCGGCAAGACGTCAGAGGTCAGTGACATGGCCAGGAGATTCCATGACCTTCTGAAGATGACTTTGACTTCGGACACTTTTACGAACACAGTAGATACTCGTAACTTTTCACACTAGATCACAGGATGGAAAAGACTGATAGATCTGATACAGTAGGATGTAAATGGATGTGGTACTCCACATAAGCGTGTATGCTGCCTTGCTCTTCTCTTGCTCTAGGGCCAAGATCGTGGATTCATTGGGGTTCATAGAGTATTGTAATCACTCCATTGAGATTGATGATGCCTACCTGAGGGCTCTGGAACCACGTGAATGTTGCAAAAGTGTAGCAACTTCAGGACAAGCCTCGAGGAAGAGGCACCAAGCTGCATTTCTTTTCTTTCATACTGTACCGTGTCAGGATGTCTCATGGGTCTGAGCGTCCTGGCACTTGGAGTTCAGAGTTGTTTGGTACCAGGTGTTTCTTACTATCCGCAAATCGTATTAAATCTTGGAGTGTGCGGATCCAAAACATGAGATGAAATCTAAATCCGAATCATGAGCCGTGATTACCAGTGTTTGAATTTTGATTTTTGATAATGATATAATATTATGATATAATATTGCTTTGACTTTGACTTACCAAAACCTGCAAGTCCTTCTGGAAGCATATCATCAGGTTGAACACGTTTCAACGGCATTTTGGTTGCAAGGATAGCGCTGGCCGCCCTCAGATCCTGGCACAATTGGCCAAGGATATCAGATGTTGCGATGTTAGTGGTGCTTTGTACAGGTGCTGAGAGTTCTTCCGGAAATGTCTCGGAACTTTCCCAAGACTTTTGTGATCAGTCGGAAGGAAATTTGTGTGGATATACATGGCAGTAAGAGAGAAAGATGTGATGTCTGGAAATGTCTAGCATAAAGCATAACAAATTCCCTTTAATTAGATGATGCTTTGGAACGTTTCTTTTCGTGCTTGAGCCTGGATACTCTTCAGAGTCTTCAGCAAATGGTTTTGATTTCCATTGCCATCGCCCGTAGCTTTTGCATGCCGCATACTGTACCATGACCACTTCATTCTCCACGGCATTGGTCCCCATATGCTGTCAAGGACATCTCGGAGCTTATCCGAAATGCACGCAGTGGTCGAGGTGACACGGAGCCAGTTGAGGCTCGGGGCACCAGAATTCCTTAGAAAAGCTGATTTCAATCAACAGAGAAGCTAATGAATTTGAGAAACTTATGTTGCTATTTTTCAAACTCCTCACCCGTGCAGTAATTTTAGCAAAAGAGATTAACCGTTAGTACTTGTAACAAGAGCGGAAGCTTTTTTCTAAGCTGTAGCAGAGAAGACCCGGGCTATTGGTACCAGTACTGGTACCCTGCTTGGGGAATAAAATCTCACTCAGGAACTCAAGCAACAGGCATCCATAGGTGCTTAGAATCAATAGATTGCCTTTGCAACTAGGATTGCATGTTTTTTTTTGTATCTGCACATTTGCGCGATATAGATGGCAAGCTTGTGCAACCTTTGTTAGTATGTTCCCTGAACTTTACAGCTTCTTGAGTCAGCACATTTTTGCTTCGAAATTCGAGCAGCTTCATTGCCGAGTCAAGCTCACATTGCTTTCCCGTCAGGCAGAGGCAAAGACCAAAACAACGTCTTTGGAGCGCTTGCGAGCCTTACAGCGGAAGGAGAGCTATCAAATACTATCAACTGGCAAATTCGGTCGCCATGTCTCAGCTTGCAACTTGCTGCAACCCAAGCAAAAACATCAACGCGTTTTTTGCAAATCATTTTGTTTGCTGCAGTTGGATCCATCGAGTTTGTGTTCATCTTTGAAGATCTCTACATCATTCATCATCATTCATCATCGTTCATCATCGTTCATCATCATTCTATTACGTATATCTATCTCTCTGTCATCTCTGTCTATCTCTGTCTATCTCTGTCTATCTCTGTCTATCTCTGTCTATCTCTGTCTATCTCTGTCTATCTCTATATGCAGTTGCAGTAATTAAAATACATATAACACACACATAGATACATACATATATAATCATATATATATATGCATATTATATTATACAACTTATTTTCAGATTGGTCCTGCGTGGACATCCTCAGGAATCCGAAAACCACGAGCCTGTTCCTGTGCCTCCTGGACCTGCCCAGGCATGTCACAAAATGTCACAATTCCATACAATTCCACGATATTCCACGTTTCAGCAGATTTCAGCATCACACTTTAGCATTCGATAGCAGTCGTGCACGTTCAAAACAGGTTTGTGCACTTTTGGCGAATTTGGGCAGCGTCTGAAATAATAGATGCGGGTATTATAGCACTGGTAGCATGAAGGAGGTGTGTTACATAATGTTATATGTGTTGCATCACGCTCAACACATGTTCTGGTCTTTGCCAGGTGATTCAAGGTGCACAAATTACTGGCAAGGTGCGCAAGGGAGCCACATGAAAGAAATAACACAATAATCTTTTGCTTCACTTTCTTCAGTGAGTTTGAATAATTATGTCTAATTACAGTCATGATATACATACATATATATGGTAAGTCCCGTCGCACAGTCTCGCATGACAAGCAAAGAACTTGAATTCGCAAGAGGAGATGAGGGGATAGCACCAAAGAGCTCCCAGGAAAAAAAATAATCTATGAATCTTTGAACCTATGGATTCACGGCGGATGGTAAGCGAAGATGATGCCATAACTATTGCCATAGGCTCCCCGACACCCTGCCAGGCTGAGAAGCGCCAGGACTGGACCGGAAGAACCAAACGCTTGAAACATCGAAGAAACATCGAAACAAAATGAGAAAAACGTCACAAATTGCCACAAACTGACAGTCAAAACAATTCAATGCATGCCAAAACTGGCATCTATAGGCATAGAGCAGCCCTTTCATTTATCAAAACAGATCTGGGAACAACTGTCCAGAACAGAGAGGGGGAACGTATGAGAAAGACTCGGGAATATTCAGATATTCATTCACAGCATCCAAATTCACTACTCGAAATCATGTCATGTGAATGCTGAGTGCTGTCCATTGCGTGGAGTGGTCTACGGTCTCGCTGTGCTGTGCATGGGTCAGAATTAGATTGGATACTCTCGTAATCAATATGTGGCCGTGTTTTCTACCACTGCCCGTTTCAGATTCCCTTTGCAAATGTTGGTTTGGTTCATGGCGCATTTCCCAAACTTTTACAGCTTTTTGGCTCGGCTTACTTTAGTAGATTGGGTGGGAACTCGTACCTGAGCTGAATTTGGTTGAGGTCGCGTCACTTTGACTGTGACAATTACAGTACATGATATTAAACTTCTTGATTGATATCACACGTAAGCCACATGAACTTAGATCCAACGCGACAAGGGGCACACCAGAAAAAGTGGTACAGTAGCTTTGACACCGTTTTCTTCTTGGCAAGTACTCAATTGGGCAATTGAAGTGGGACGAGATTACAAGATATTACGAGATACTACCAGATATGAGGATATGATATCACTATATATCAGATATAATATATCACTGGTTGGTTACATTTGATTACTGCGTACACAGTG